AATCGTCTAGGTGTGTCAATCTGAGTGGGAGCCAAGAAAGGTCAACACCAAGACCTGAACAAAGAAAGAAAGATAAGCAAATAGCTCCCGTCAGAAGGAGTAACAGGGAAAGTGTTCCCAAAAGACGCTTTCAAATAGAAGACGAATCTCTCTTAGTTACTCCAGAAGGGGATGATGAGCCCCGTTCTGTACGAGAGGCCTTATCAGGTCCTGCAAAAGATGAATGGATGAAAGCTATGGAATAAGAAATGGACTCAATGAAAAAGAACCAAGTTTGGGTGTTAGTTGATCTTCCAAAAGGGCGTAAAGCCATTGGGAACAAGTGGGTTCTCAAAATTAAAAGAAAAGTGGATGGATCAATTGACAAATACAAAGCTCGATTAGTGGCGAAGGGGTACACACAACAGGAAGGAATAGATTATGAAGATACATTCTCACCTGTTGTGCGTTTCAATTCTATTAGACTTATTCTGGCAATAGTAAACAGTTTAGATTTAGAATTACATCAGATGGATGTAAAAACCACATTTTTGAATGGTAATCTGGATGAAGAAATCTATATGGAACAACCATTAGGTTTCATTGAAAATGGAAAGGAAAATAAAGTTTGTAAACTCAAAAGATCCATTTATGGATTGAAACAATCATCCAGACAGTGGTATTTGAGGTTTCACAAAGCAATAACCTCATATGACTTCCAAATGATAGAGGAAGACCACTGCGTCTACATTAAGCGGTTTGAGGGTAATTTTGTCATATTATCCTTATATGTAGACGATATACTATTAGCCGGAAATAGTCTAGATTCGGTGGTGGCTATTAAAGAATGGCTTTCGTCGAATTTTGAGATGAAAGATATGGGTGAAGCAGAATACATACTTGGAGTTAAAATCCAAAGAAATCGTTCAAAACGAATCATCTCTCTTTCACAAGAGAATTATATCAACAAGATTCTTGAGCGATTCAACATGAAAGACTACAATCCCATGAGTACACCTGTTGCTACTAGAGTGGCTTTGAGTTCTGACATGTGTCCCAAAACCGAATCTGATAAAAAGAAGATGGAAAGAGTTCCATATGCCAGTGCTGTTGGTAGTCTGATGTACGCAATGATGTGTACAAGACCAGACATCTGTTATGCAGTGGGACTGGTAAGTAGATTCCAGTCTAACCCCGGTGAAAAGCATTGGAAAGCAGTGAAGAGGATCTTGAGATACTTGAAGGGCACTTCCAATTATGCACTGTGCTACGAAGGAGGTGACCTGCGTCTTGTTGGGTACTCCGATGCTAATGTAGGCGGAGATGAAGAAGAACGAAGGTCAACTTCAAGTTATACCTTCTTACTCAACAATGGCGCCATATGTTGGAGTAGCAAGAAGCAAACGTGCATTGCCTTACATTCGATGGAAGCTGAGTTTGTGGCTTGCACTGCAGCAGTGCAAGAGGCTTTATGGCTGAAGAGATTTATAGAACACCTTGGATTTGGAAACAAGAGTACCAATCCAGTGATGATATACTGTGACAATACTGCAGCCTTAGCCTATACTAAAGATCCTAAGTATCACAGCAAAACCAAGCACATTGACATCAAGTATAATTTTGTTAGAGATTACATAGCACAAAAGATTGTTACTGTACAATATATTTCAACCAAATGTATGGTAGCAGATCCTCTGACAAAGCCAATAGGCGAAAAAGTTTTTAAAGAACATGTACAAGCCCTTGGCATACGTAAAGTGTAATATGAATGCTTCATTAATGAAATTGTATTTCGTTATCACTTTATGTGTCTGTCCGAAAGTATACAATGTCTAGTATGTCGTATAGGTTGAAAAGGTTGGCTCTCTCACACGGGCAACCGCCTTTGACACTCAGGTGGAGTGAACAAAGATGAGACATTTGTGTTCACCAGTAAAGCAGCAATGAATGCTGATATGGTAGAGAAGAAACACAAACTTTATGTCGCCTTGACTAAAGTGTAGCAAGTCAAGATGAGATCCACATTGATAAAGCTGGATTGAAGTTTGGAATCCCACTTCCATAATACCTGTAGCCAGACAACAAACTCTTCAACGTCGACGTCATAACAATGAGCAGAGTTGAAGAATTTGGGTTTAGATACTGAATGTGTTTGGACCTAAGTCTGTACGGTGTTAATAATAAATCTAAATCGACATACGCTCTTATAGTAAAAGAGTAACACCGTAGCATGTGTTTCATACCACATGTGCTGAGAGAACCGCAAAAGGGAAGCAAGTGAAAGATCCCTGCTTCATTGCTGTGTGAGTCCTAGGGAGGAATTATCCTCCTATTGGTGTCCTTTGACTTTGACAATATCATGAAGATATGTTTCAGTGACTGCTACTTTGGCATATGTCCTATGGCCATGATTGATGCGATCTAAGGTAGTATGCCAAGAAAGCGACTGATTCATTTCAAAGTGATATTTGGGCGAAAGGAAGATTGACTGTGATATACACACCTATGCTAGTGTCTGTGACATGTCCCTTATGACATTTTGTGGTCGTAAGTGTGGATACTAGACATAAGAGAAAGGTAATCTGAGTCAACTATTGGCTCGAGAGGGATTAGATTTACCATGAAAAAGTGTATATAAGTAAATCTAGGACATCTGAGGCATAATTCAAGCTACACAAAGGAGAGGGTGACTTGTGCTGATCCTTTAAAAGGGATTTCTAGTACAGGGACCCAAGCGAAGACGTCATGCCCACGCGGTCACGGCAAAGCACTAAGTATGAAATTGAGGGAAGGTGAAGAGACTAGACCCGCGACATCTAATCCACCAAGTGTGAGTGGGAGATGTAAGAAAATAGGCCAGTCCACCCTTGGTGGATTGGACCCAAGCCCATTTATCATTTGGGACTCCAGTGTAAATAGCAAAACTCTTGGGTCTTTAACTGTAATTTTTGCCTTTTCATATATTTTGCCAAAAGGCAGGAACGGTTGTGCAGAGGAGACGGTTTTTGGGAGTTACATAACTGATAGATAGGGATCAGTTTATGGGGACGTGACTTGCGTTTTTCCTTCGCCTCTTCACCATCAAACTCTCCTCTTAGTCTCTCCAAAAACTCTCCCACCGGTGTAATTTGCTGTGTCTCCCAGATCCGACTCCATCACCGTGATTGGACCTCCGCGTGGCAACCTGACTTCATTGCAAACTCCAGGTATGCCCGAAAACCTTCAGAAAATGATACTGAAAAATCAAGAACGTGTGAAATGACAATGAAGGACCCATGATTAGTAAAAACAAATTGAAAAGAAAATTGGAAGCGAAGGTGCAGATCTCATATCTAACCCCAAAAAACAAAAGAAGGGATTTTAGAATTAGATTTAATATGCTCCGTTTTCATACTTACCTTGTACTACCTCCCATTCTAAATATAAGAGCTAATTGACTAATTTGAATAAATTAAGAAAACAAGTTTAAGTTAGTTATTTGTAATAAATAGATGTTGTCTTTCTTAAAATATTCTTGCTAATCAAGTTTATTGACTAGAACTACCATTAATAGAAGGGTTATCTTGAAAAAAAATAAATAAATATGATAGACAAAATAGATTGAAGTCTTATATTTAGGATCAAAATAAAAGTCAAACGAGATCTTATATAAAAGATTGAAGATAATATTTCATAAATAATAATTAAAAATTTGTTTTTAAAAACTCCAATCGTCATTCAAAACACCGCCATACTTTGCAGCTAACAAATGAGGGACTGTAAAAATATTGACTTTTTCTAAATTATATGTTGATTTTTGTGAATTTATGACACTATATCAGTCAAGATAATCTAAATAAAATATAAATAGTAGTTATCTATGTCTGACATCAATCTCTAAAAAATATAATAAATGCTTGAGCATTTACATTTGTTTTTTGTTTTTAACCCCTAAATATTATGGTTGTATTGTCTTAGCTAATTGCTAAAAATAGACCAGCAATGCATGCATATACACAGTAGAACAACAAAACAATCAAGTAGTCCATTTAACAGAACAACCAATAATATTATCAAACAGTTCTAGTACTGCTAATTAGCCATAACAAATTTTACAATAAACTTTATAACCCTAAAGCTAATAGTGTCCTAATGCATACTACCTCTGGTCTTAATTATAAGAGCCAGTTGACTAATTTGAGGAAATTAAGAAAAGAAGTTAAGTTAGTTATTTGTAATAAATAGATGTTGTCTTTCTTAAAATATTCTTACCAAGCAAGTATGTTGTCTAAAACTATAATTATTAGAAGAACTATCTTGAAAAAAATTGAGTAAATATGAAAGATAAAGTAGATTGAGATCTTATATTTAGAACCAACATAAAAGTCAAATGGGGTTTTATATTAAAGACCGGAGGTAATACTTAAACAATAACTTCAAGCTATATGGTCGCCCAAAAAAAAAAACTTAAAGCTATATGAACCTCATGACCCTCATGACCCGTTGACACACATATACAGTGATTGAAGGTTGGTTTTTGTTCCTACTAATTATGTTATATAACTGTATTAATTATTTTCATAAGCCTCCTTTTTTTACTCATTTTCTATCTCATTTTCTATATTTTTTTAGGTCAAAACTATCTCTTTTTCTCTATAAACATGAGCCATTTTTAAAAACAAAATATATTTTTTACCTACTTTTGTCGTTGTAAATTCTCTTCTAGACCTTAATATAAGACTTAATTAACTAATTTGAATAAATTAGGAATACTAATTAAATTAGTTAATATGATATGTTTTTTTCAAAATACTCTAATCATTTTTATTAATTTTCTTCCTCTATCTTCTACTTGATTATTATTGAGAGAATATTAATAAAATTAGTTTTAAAAAAATTATAAACATTTAAGATAAATCTTACATAGAGAATTAACATCCGGGGAATGTTTGTGTGTGCGTGTGTTTGTGCACAAAAAAAATGCGCGGGTGTTGATTATTTTAGTTACTTATAAAATGATGATCATATGATCCCCATGCGAATCTTCATTGTGTGCCAGGTTCATTGCACGCGTTCCTCCTTGGCATCGGCAAGCTTGACAACTGGGACCCCTCGCTGGGACTGAAATAGTCGAAGGAAGTGCCGTAAGAAGGAGCTCGTCTTGTGGCTGCTGAACCTTTGCATTCCTAGAAGATCGAACCGTTGTCTTGCTCTTCTTGGTTATTCGTTGTTGCTCATATTCTAAACCGATGGCGTCTGATTCGAATGGACCTGCATCTGATAATACCCTCCGGTCTATCTGTTACAAGCGGGGTTCGCTTCAGCTTCTTGATCAGGTCTCTTCCCCTTTCTGCTCGCTCAACTCTCTACCTATATATCTTTCTAATTTCGTGTTTCTTTTTTAACTATATATTTTGATTTCACCATGTAAAGCCGCTCCTTAGAAATGGGAAACTTGACAATGATGTGAATAAACGTGTTTCGTATGTTTGTCAAAGGTACTGAGCTTTAAGTTGTTCGAGTTATTGGAGGCAGCTTAAGAAAATATTCTCTTGAAATTAATTTGTTGCCAATGAATAGCTTAACGCTGTGATGCATGTGTTAGAGAAATTCGGCTGGCCCCAGACCCTTTAGCAACCGTTGGGTGTGAGTTATTGGTGATTTTGCTTTAAATTTAAAGGTTGAAATCATACGCAGAATCGAAACCCAAATTTTCTTATATTTTGTCATGAAAAGATTGCGTTTTGTTAGATTTTATTTTGCCTCTAGCATTCCTTTTGTTGCAATGTATTCTTGGTATTTCATTTGGTTTGTTTACTTATTGCTGATAATTGTGATGCAGAGAAAGCTCCCTCTAGAAACAGTTTATTTGGACATTCAGAATTCAACAGATGGCTGGTAAGTACTGTAGTTCTGTTCAAACGGAGGAAAGTTTTATATACCAAGTCTCATACTTTGTTTTACATGAAAGTTCTTTTGCTGCACTTACAAAGGAGTTCATCTTGAATTTTCTATTTCATCCTTGTTGGTGTAGTACAATCAGCAGTAACGAAACTCTTATTATGCATCTATTCTCTTTGAACATATCTCAGCCAACCTGACCTGGTTCCCTACTTTCCTTCTCACGACAGTATCCTATTAAATTGCTTATACTTTACAACCAATTGTCAGAGTAACCATAGTAATGGTTCCTTTAGTTGAAATTATTTTTCTTCGCTGTTAGATATTCAAAAAAACCCATCCCATCTAGTAGGATAAGGCTTCGTTGTTGTTGTTAGATTTAAAAAGTGTCCTTTGGATTATGATCTTTATTGTTTAAGTCTGTGGGTCCAAATATATAACTGTTCATAACCTTCCCAGGAGTGCCATAAAAGATATGGTGGTCCGAGGAGCACCTGCTATTGCCATCGCAGCAGCACTTTCTTTGGCTGTTGAAGTTTCCAATCTAGAGGCATTTAATGGGTCACCTCATGATGCAGGAAGCTTCCTCGGAAAGAAATTAGATTATCTTGTCTCAAGGTATTTCCAATCCTCTGCATTGGACTGAGACAGTATTCCACTTGTTTCTAGTTAGATTTTGAAATTTTTAATCTATTTCCTGCCGAGAAAACTAACTAGCATTTAACATTTGAAAGCTAACATTCTCCTTGAGCAGTTGTGGATATCAATATGAAATTTATTTCAAGCAGATGAGTCCTAGCTGATTTGTTATTTCGTTCTTTAGTCGGCCAACTGCAGTGAACCTTTCAGACGCTGTAACTAAACTCAAAGAAGTTATATCTAAGGCTGTTGCTTCTACTACGGAGGCCAAGAGTGTTTTTCAGGTATTTCTGTTCTTATAGTAATAATGGAAGTCTGACAAAATAAAGGAGGTTATATATTTTGCCATTTTCCCTCACTTATTTAGCCCATGGCCATTGAATCCACTATTTGTGGGACAATTTTGTAGGCGTATATAGAAGCTTCTGAGATTATGCTTGAGGATGATGTTGCCTCAAATAGAGCAATTGGTTCTTTTGGAGCTAGTATTATTCAACAACAGACAGGGAAAATAAAGCTTTCTGTCTTGACCCATTGCAACACTGGAAGGTGCTTACTGCAATGCCTTCGCTTTGTTAGTTATTACTTTGGTTAAATCAGGGAGCTCTACTTTTGTTGATTTGCTCCACAAGATGAGGGCTTTTAACTGGCCTGCAACTGTTTTTTGTGTTCATTTCTCAGTCTTGCCACTGCTGGATATGGTACTGCTCTGGGTGTGATTCGTGCACTTCATAGTGAAGGGGTTTTAGAAAGGGCCTATTGCACAGAAACACGCCCATTCAATCAGGTGACTGCTTTATTTTTTGTTCCAAAATCTAATTAAGCATTGAGTTCTATTAAGAGAAGACGTATCCACTAGTCACTGATATTATGGTCTGTTCGTGCTTTCCCCCCACTATGAACGGTATTAATTACATGGCATGGAAGCAAAACCAAACCGGAATAATTATCTGTCCTATTTGTAAATGGTCCGTTTTCAAAAGTTTCAACTTTTAACATGAAATTTTGAGTGAGAGCTTCTGCATTACTGAACTATGCTTTTTAGTTATCATTTAGTTTAGCATTACAGACAACTTAGATCTTCTGATTATGCGTTTTTCAAGGAATGAATTAGATTGTAGAATTTATTAAGTGAAGTAGTTATGGGGACGCATTTCTGACTTTCTGTAATAGTGAATATTTAGGCTTTTTCCTTCATTTGTGATAGAAATCATGTCTCTATTAATTATTTAATTATATCTTATGAGTTGTTCCAGTTAATTAAATGAATTGATTTTTATGCTAGTTAATGTATTTTTAAATTGCAGGGATCTAGGCTCACGGCCTATGAGTTGGTGCATGAACGCATACCTGCAACTCTTATAGCAGATTCTGCGGCAGCTGCACTGATGAAAGCTGGACGAGTAGATGCTGTTGTTGTTGGGGCAGATCGTGTTGCATCAAATGGTACTTCATGGATCTAATGAAACTAATTAATTAATTTCTTCTTTTTCAAAAGTTGTAAATTATCATCTGATCCATCATTCTTATCATTGCCTTTCTCTTTCAAACTCTCATTGCAGGTGACACAGCCAACAAAATTGGAACCTATAGTGTTGCCTTGTGCGCCAAGTTTCATAATGTACCCTTTTATGTGGCTGCCCCTTTGACTTCCATTGATCTATCACTTTCTTCCGGACAAGAAATTGTCATTGAGGAGAGATCTCCCAAGGAATTGTTGAATGCACGTGGAGGACTTGGAGAGGCCGTTGCCGCACCAGGAATTTCTGTGTGGAACCCCGCATTTGATGTCACACCGGCTGCTTTGATTTCCGGTATCGTCACAGAGAAGGTCCTGTTCCCTCTCCTATGTTTTTGCAATTTTATGTGAATCTATAACGTTGCCCATGAATAATCTCTTCTAGTCTTTAGATTTATTCTTCTTCACAAACTAGAATTGGAACGTTGATATTGAGTCATCCCTTATACTAGACTAAACATAATTTGGTCCAATAGAGGGATTAGAGTACAGCAAATTGATATAACTTTGAGATGTTAGTTCACATCAAACAAATTCAAGGCCTGAAAAATTGATTTAACGGAGGACCTAAAGAAAATAAAATTCCTTTCAAAGACCATCAGAATGAGCGGTAACCATTGCTTTGTATAGTTATATTCTCTGAAGTTATAACCACCATGTTTCAAAGATATTTTAAATTTATTACTGCCTCTGTATAAACATGTTGCTATAATGTCAGAAACATCTATCATACTTTCAAAGATCATAACACAGAGAGAATTACTATGAGGTCCCAAGGAGGGAATTTAATTAACATGAAGTTTTAATGACAAATGAGCAGCATAAACCTATTATTATTTCCTATACTAGAACTTGTTATTACAACAACTTTTCCTTAGAATCTGATAGTAATACCCCCTAACATAAATAGTGTCACCCCATTGAGTTGCCAATTTACTAGTTATAGGTCCTTAATTATCACTTTACATGCGTACCATGACCAAATTTTATGCTTTTCAATATTAGCAAATTAAATTCAAGCACTGTTGGACTCTGTGGGCGTTCCTTTTTTCTATTTCTTTGCCTTTCATTCTTACGCGGTTAAATTCATTCTGATACGACCACTTTTACATTCTGTATCTTTAAGCAGGGTGTCATTACCAAAACAAGTGATGATACATTCGACATAAAAGCTTTCGCACAGAAGACAGGTTATGCCAAGGGCTGAAGTAATGATAACGTAACATTAGTTCTCTGCTTGAAAAACGACTTGTGGATAGTGAATTATGGGGATAAGTTCATGAAGACATGTTCAATATCTAATCATTTTGATTCAAGCAGCGTAGGGTAAGTTTGTCAGATGAGGTGCAAGTGGTCCTGCAAAACAGATAGGGACTAGTAAATGAATGGGTAAGTTGAACAATAATTAGATGTGGATCCTATGTGCTGTTGAAACAACACACTACTGTTCTGACACAATAGCGTACTATTCATAAATTCATAAATACAGGATTACAATACATGGAAGATGAGTCCTTGTCCTTGATGGTTGATACTGAGTTGGTGTTCTTATCTTCTTCATTAATGCAACTTACTCTACAAGTTTCACTGGTGGATAAACTTTTCTAGTACCTCGTAATCTCTATCTACCCCTCATAAATAGCTTAAAATTCTGCAAGATTTTTTCAACACTTATTTCTTCAACATACCTCATGTAAAATTATTTCTTCCGGTCATTAACTTAAGTTTTAGTTTGTAATTTAATTACAAATTAGATATTATCTTAAGATCCGTTTATCAAATTTAATTTCCCTCTTCAAAATATATTTTGGGTGAACTTATTTTCCCGGCTTATTAATTGTGTCCCGATTTTTTCCCCTCCTATTTAATAATTCTCACAATTTATTGTAAATTCCTCATAACTTATTATCAGCAGGCTTAGTGTATCAGTATTATTTAAATCTGACTTTAAATAAAGTTTCTAATGAAAACAATAGTCGCTTATTATGTCTAGTATTTATCAAAATAGATAAATCGAGCCTACTAAAATTATTTTTTTGGGCATCAAATGAAGGTCAATAACAAAATTTGAAAGTCAACTCACAACCATCATCAATATCGAATATAAATCAATATTTGATACTCCATGCATTATACTACCTCCGGTCCTAATTATAGGAGCTACTTAACTAATTTGAGGAGATTAAGAAAAAAAGTTAGGTTAGTTATTTGTAATAAATAGGTATTGGCTTTCCTAAAATATCCTTACTAATCATGTGTATTGGCTAGAACTACTATTGTTAGAAGGATTACCTTGAAAAAAAAAACATAAATATGAGAGACAAAGTAGATTAGAGTCTTATATTTAAAACCAAAACAAAAGTTAAATAAGGTCTTATATTAAGGACCGGAGGTAGTAACATGCAATGATACCTCATGTAATCATCATCATAATAGTTTATTTCTTACATTTTATGCTAAGCATATGAAAACCCTCTTAATTTCATTGGCAGGAAGGATAAAAAAAATTAAGAATGAAACAGGATATATAATTTACAAAAATTTCTGTGCTCAATCTCATATCAGCTAGCGTGATCTGTGATGTTTGTATCTTGAAAAAAAAAAAAGAATTATGGTAAGTAACCACAAGGATTGTGATTTGTCTAGTTTATTTAGTTTTTGATTCTTTTAAAGTTTGGACAATAATTTAGATAATTTTGAATTAATAATTTTATGAAATTTATTCCTTTCAAAAAAAGATTTTATGATGTTTATTGTTTTATTTTTGGATAGTAAAATGGTCTGAAAACTTGCAAGCCAACTTTGAATCCACATATCTAAAGATTAGGCTGTAGGAACATGATGGTTTTTGAGTACGCAGTCCTTTTAGGTCTAACCTTTTTAAAATTCAAAATTGTTAAAGACTGACCTGTTAAGGCTAAGGCAATTTATATCCATAATTCTAAGCGTGGATAAGTCATATTTGATGACATATGATTATTAGGAAAGCATTCCTCTCTATTATAATTGTTGAGTAACCAATCAAATATTTCAATTTTTTACCAAATTCATATATATCAATTGAGCTACCTTTGTTTTTAATGAAAAATATAGAGTAATACACCAATTAGGCGATCACCTTCATATTTTATTTTAATTACAGAAACCTTGCATCTATTTTGAAAATATATATAAACCTCTTTAAAATTAAAACGTATGTTACACAAACCTTCCTCCTATATTCAATATTTTATTGCCATCCACCTAATCTATTACTTAACTGTTAAGTTTGACTTTAAATTATTTTTTACTAAAATACCCCTTTTTAACTTAATAACTATTTAGACATTTATATTTTTCAAAAATATTTTTTATGAAATCAAAAAATAATTCTAATACATATATTTTTAAAATTTCTAATTTGTTATAAAATTTATTAATTTTGATCCAAATCATAAAATTTTATAATTTAAACATTTTATCACATTCATTAGAAATTATTTATTTGATTTTTTAAAATTGTAAAAACATATTTTAAATACATAGTTTTTGTTTATCATAAAATTTAAATAATATATGTCTTAGAAATTTTATAAATTATTTAAATTTATAATTCAAAAATTTTAAGCACATCTTTTTTACGAAAAAAATTATAAACATATTTAGTCAAGTATATATATTTGTTAACAAAATTGGTTAGATTTTTAATCTAGTCTTTTATATTTGTTTTAATGAATAAAATTCATGTAACTGTAAAAATATAATTTAGGAATTTATTATCATGAAGAGCAAAATAATAAATAAAATTTAGTTTAATATAATTTCAGTTAAAAATAATATTTTTAAAATTTTTTTATAATATTTCTAACTGTGTTAATTAATTGGAATAAACTGTATATTTTTAAAATAGAAAAGAAGTATTTGTAATTGGTGTAAAAGAGAAAGATAATCAGAGTATTTTACTCAGAAATATATATAGTGTTTTTTTTGTTAGGGCACATGTAACTTTCTACCGGATACGTGTGTATATATAAATATTTTTTTTGCTAGGGTACATGTGACTTTCTATAGTAGCACGTAATTTCTTTTTTTGAAACCATTGTCATCGAAATTTCTGAACAGTATGTTTATTTATTTAAAAGATAAGTTAAGAAAGGTTAAATCTAATTTATATGAATTAAAATTCAAAACTCAAATAGTTTTAAAAATAAAAGGTATGTGTGGAAGATTTTTATTTTTTAGTTTCATCTTATGAAGACTTAACATTTCTTTTTATTTTTTTATCAGCCAAGACTTAACATTTTTATAAATCAAAGAGAAGCAAAAGATTAGCACAGAGGATCTTAAAAGAAATATTAAGAGCAATTTTCAAGTAATCAAGTAAGTTTTTATTTTTCTTTCCATAGTTCAAAATATTTCATATATTTTTTCTTCACATAATTAAAGGCAAGCCTGGGCTATTGCTCTTGTGAGTCAATACCGTTTTTTCATCTTAAAACAATTATTTGATATTATTAAAATACAGAATTAGATAGATTTTACTTAGCTCGAAGGAGAACGTAAAAAACCACTTACTTTGACATATTTCAAAAGATTGGTTTTCTTAATATTATATCGTAATAACACCAATACTATGAACCTTTTGAACTTAAAATAAGGAGAAGATATAAATAAAAACTAAAACTTTTTAACTTCATGATTTTTTTATAAAACATGGAAAAATTAACAAGGCCATATTGACGCATTTTTCGTAGTCAATCTTAAGATTAATCCAACATTTTAAAATTAGTTTAATTCAATTTATGTATAATTAGTAGCAGTAACAAAACATTTAATCAAATTCAAACACATATTTAAAGATTGTTCTTTTTTATTTTTTTTTTCCATATGAATCTTCGATAAATCGTGCTCGAATTGATAAAAATTTTTTTATATACTAATTTAAATTATGCTGTGCTATTTTGAACACAAAAGTATGAGATCTTTCAATATATAATTTCCTTTTTGTTGAGATGATTTAAGAGAAATGTGTGCACTCAGTAAAACTGAAAATTCATATTCTATATTTTTCAATCTCTTTGAGTTTTTGAATGTCTAAAATATTATTGTCAAGATTTTGGCAAAAAAAATTATTTTCAAGATGAAATATTGCCTCTGACCATATGGACTTCTTTTGACCAAGTTTGACTTCGCCGACTATGAATGTGATAAACAGATTCTTTTTTTGATAAAATCTAATATTTTTATTTCTTTGAAGACAGCTTAACAAATTTAAATATGATTTATATTAATAAAATTCAAAACTCAGATAATTTTAAAAATAAAAGATATAAATGGATAACTTTTTATTCTTATTTTTATCTTATCAAGACTTAACATTTCTTTTATATATATATATATATATATATATATGTGTGTGTATATTTATGCGTGTATATATATCAGCCAAGGCTTAACATTTTTATAATTAAGAGAGAAACCAAAGGATATCGCACAAAAGATCTTAAAAAAAACATCAAGAGCAATTCCCAGGTGATCAAGTAAGTTTCTATTTTGTCTTCCATGTACTTCAAAATACTTCATACATCTTTTATAAAATTAAAGGCTCCAACAAGCCATTGGTTTGTTTATTATTATTTTTTATAAAATTAAAATATATATATTTATACGGCAGATTGTTTGGGAATTTCAAAGGCACACGATGGACAAGAGGAAAATATCATCCACTTTGTTGACTCAAAACATGAAGCCTAAGAAGCAAAGAATTGATGATAGCAATCTCCCAAATAACAATAATATTAATGATTTCTGGCAATTTATTCCAAGTGGATTTAAGTTTCTACCTTCAGAACAAGAGTTGATTATGGCTTATCTGAGGAAGAAAGTTATGGATGAACCATTAGAACGTAATCTAATCGTCGAAGTTGAAATCTATAAGTACAATCCTGAACAACTATCTAGTAAGTTTCTTGACCTTTTTTTATGATTAAATATAATATTTCATTATATTTTAATAAAGTGTGTTGTTTTTAATTAATTATTCTTATGTATCTGTTTGTTAAAGGAAAGAGGGAGCCATCCTAATGTGTTTGTGTTTGGATAGAAACCAAACCATGGTTTCAGAAGTGCTTTTACGGATTACGAAGTAAATATGTGGAGGAGATTATCTCGTTTTGCGGAAAAGTGCTTCTGAAACCACGGTTTGGAGATACCCAAACAGGCTAGTATATGTGCATACTTGATGAGTTTTCTTGAAATACATCTCTAGTTGAATCCTATTTTTTTCACAAATAAATTTTTAAATCATGAAGGAAATTTTAAATAACTTTCTTAAACGTTATGGTATTTGTAAATATCTCATTCATAAGCAGTTTTATTTATTACTCCTGTGATTTTAATATAAGACCTATTTAATTAATTTGGTTAGATTAAAAAAGTTAAGTAAATTAGTTAATTATAATAACTATGACATGTTTTTCCTAAAACATCATAATCATCTTCCTCTTCTACCTGATTAAGAATGTTCAACTTGTCTCGTTCCGATCCCAATCAATTGAGGATGGGATGGGATGGGATGGGGGAAAAAATTTCAGAACGAGACGAGTACAGAATGGGACAAAACAGTGACCGGGTTCTCCCATCCCATCTCAGAGTTTTATTTAAAAAATCATTTATTAATAATTTTTATTAGATTATTCAATTCTTTTTTTTAAGAATAATTATTTTTATAGTAATTTTCAGCTATTAAGTTATAATATTATCTCAATAAAATCTTCTTCTTCAATAAAATAATTTATAAAGCTATTATATAATATTTCTTTTATAGTATTTCTTTTTTTACAGTATTGTTTTTACACATTTTTTAATTACACAATTGGGTTTTTCATGTAATATTTTTTTTAGTGTTTTTATCAACAGAAAACCAATAAAAAATAATTATTACGATATAAAAAAAGATTCAAGACCAAATTACATTGGCTCGTTAATAAAAAAAATGGGATGGGACACGAGATGAAATTCCCATCCCGTCTCGTCCCATGAGTAAGCTTGTAGATGATTATAGTTGAGTAATTATCAATAGGAGTAATTTAAAATAATTTATAAATATGAAAAATATGTTTTACAATCAACTTAACAATTAGATCCTATATTACGAATCGAATGAGTACTTATTTGTGTATATGCTAAAAATTTACGGGACTTGTATGCATATAACTTAAAATTTGAGAGGGTCATATACACACAAAAATATAATTGAAAAGGGTATATAATCGATGGTTGACATTTATTTAGAGAAAACCATTTTACAGATACCCATAATTTTTCTCAATTTATAATTTAGTATCTCTTTGTTTTTTCTCTTTTAATTAAATATTTTAGTTTTGCTCAGTTAGTATCGTTATTTTTTATAATTTTATTGTTTGTGCTGTTAACAGCTCAATACTAACTTAGAACCTGAGAGGGTTATATACACAATAAATTGTTGGTATATGGTTCAAAATTTATGAAAATTTTATATAATTTAGCCTTTATAGCTTTAAAATAATTATAAAGAACTTGCTAATTCAAATTCATAGTATTTCATAGTTAATTATAACATATTAGTTCTTACCTTTTTTTTGGAAGAATAATAATCCATCAAATGAATAAACTAATATGGTTTTAATTGTATATTAATTGAAAACACAGGAAAATATAGGAGTTATGGAGAAAATGAGTGGTATTTTTTCTCCCCAAGAGATAGAAAATATCCAAATGGAAATAGGCCAAAACGATCAACAGAAGATGGTTATTGGAAAGCATCAGGAAAATGTCAGTCCATTTATTTAGATGACGGATGCACATTAATTGGAAAATGGAGAAGTTTGGTTTACTATGAAGGGAATCATCAACGGAGTAAGAAGACCAATTGGATCATGCGCGAGTATTATTTGGATGGCACAACCCATGCAAGAACAAGTTCCTTAGATATGAAGGTTAGTAACATATAATTTTGATTTTGCAATCTTTTTAGTGTTTTAAAATTAGAGCTAAGAGTATTTTTGCCTCGGAAATATTTTCAAAAAAGATGTCGGGTATCAAAAAACTTTTTGACTTAATGTAAATATTATAGAAAAAAAAAGAAACAGTGTTGTCCCTGCCGATAAAAATTATTAATAGTTAATGTTAGTTTTTTTTTTTTTAATTATTAGGGTGACATTGCTAACACTACCACAAAAAATGCTGTTTATATATGTTTTGGAGGCTTTTTATAATCTTTTTTCATCTATTTACTGTTGAGTAAAAAAATTTCTGAATAGTCATATTTCATTGGCAAATATTTTTAAGGCTAAAATAACCCTCATTAGTACTCTAAATAGCATATTTTATTTTTTTCCCTAAAAATGATATTGTTGTATACTTTTGTTCCCCTTCCTTTTGCAGTTAGATGATTGGGTTTTGTGTAAGATTTACAAGAACAATAAGAACTACATGAAGAGCTCAACTAAGGAGCAAACATATTCAGAACCACTAAGAACAGAACCAGCTCAAATGATTTGTTCTTCAAAAATGTTGCCTCAATCTCAACCTCAGCAACCTCAACATGAAAGTAATAAAATGGACCCAGTTCAATTGAATCCTCATTCATCACCAGGAATCTCTCAAGAATCATCAAATCCTTCATATCTTAATGAAATCAACAATGAAACGTCAAGTTTTGATGATGATATTTGGAATTCAATAGATTTTGACAATTTGGATGCAAAACACAATGATTATATGATCCCAGACACGATTTCTTATGAAGACGACACAACTGCATCAGTAAAACCAAAGTCAGAAATGGAGTCTTCAAGATTGCTGTTGGCAGAACCATCAAATGATCTCTACATGATGGGGGGCATTAATAATTTTTTTCCTATATATATGTAGGAGAATAAGAAATTTTTTTTATAAAATTGATGGTTTAGTTTTGTCATATATAAAATATATGTGAACTTCTCTATATGTTTCAAGGGATGACTGAAGTGTAAGAAAATATTTTGTAGAGGCAAATATGATATGGTTTGGGTGAGATAAGTGTTTTATGTGTTAAGTAAGTGCCTTCAATTATATGAGAAAAAGGAAATCAAAATAATTGATATGTTTATTTTAATTTTAAACATATGTAATAAGTAGTAGCGCCCTTTAATCTCAACCAATAATTCAATACTAGTCTTGAATGCTAAAACTAAAAAAACAAAAATTGATATAAATATAATCACTATTTTGAATTTATAAATTTATAGTTGGTCTAATTGAATGGGTCAATTAACAAATTAATACAAATTTTAATTCTAACTTTATTTTTATCAAGGTAATTACTAAATTTTGACCAAAAACCTTGTTAATTCAAATAGATTTGAAAATTTCACCAGCAGTTTCGGTCACGACCACCACTGTAACTGCCTTTTATCATTACCGCCATCCCAACCATCATTAATAACCATCATCATCAGCCATTATCACGATCATCAATAGCTACTAGCTCACCATCATTGCTAGGGATTACCTCCGTCGTCACTTACGACCACTATTATTATAATATTAAAATTAAAATTTCTTTCTCTAAAACTGAATATAACACAACAATTTTAAATGAACTAGTATATGCTTCTCGCGATTAATGAAACCATGAAGATAAACGTCCCTTCAAATGGCTTAAATAATGTTTGGATAGAAACTAAACTATGATTTTAAAAAAAAATTTTGTGATATACAAAGTAAATATGTAAAAAAATTGTCTCGTGTTATGAAAAAAATGCTTTTTAAAAGCACTTTTACATCTTCTTAGGGTATGTTTGGATTGACGTTGGGTAAAATTGACTTATGAGAAAACTGACTTTTGTAACTGAAGTTAGAGTAAAAGTCAGTTAGTGTAATGTGATTTATGTTTGGATAGGTGCTTTTAAAAAGTCAGTTGAAAAAGTTGAAAGTTGTTTGGATGATTAATATAAAAGTTAGTTTAGTTGTAAAATGACTAAAAAGGGTATACATTTTATTAAATAGTAGTGTTAGATATTATATATTTTTAATATAATAATAATTTTAAAAATGCCTAAAATTATTATAATAAAATAAAAATGGGTTGTGAGCAATAATTGTTTCATCCTCCATAATCAAACCTCCTAGGTACTGATCACTTGCTTTTCTTTGAAGGAATCCACATAGCAAGAAACAAAATACTTTATAAATAGCCCCATCAAGTCGATGATTTTCAATTCGAATGCTGATGCAGAGGAATAGCGATATTCTATTGCCCAAAGATCTAAATCATCTTGGACCTCCTATACATGGCCTGATTGGCGAGTGCGTAGAGATATAGGCAAACTGCAACCCGCCAAGCCCCTAACAAGAAGAATGGTAATATGACAAAGTGGAGTTGAGCGCTCAGCTAAGGCAGGGAGACACCGGCAAAATTGAGGGAGGGAGAGTGCGATCTACAGGAGAGACTGACGGAGAGAGAAGAGCTGGCGACACTGAGGGAGGCAACGAGCGATCTATAAGGGAGACTATTAGAGGGAGCGAGCGAGCGATCTGCAGGTGAGACTGAGGGAAGGAGAAGAGCCAGCGAGTCTCAAGGAGGCAGTGAGCAATCTGCAGGCCACTTGAGGGAGGGAGAAGAGCAGCTGAGACTAATGCTCTGCTTGGATTGAGTGAAAATAGGAGAGGAAGGAAAAGTGGAGTGGAAAATGGGAGAGGAATGAACTTTTCCCCTGCTTGGATGGGAAAGAAAATAGGAGAGGAAAGAAAAGTGGGAGGAAAAATGTGGTGGGCCCCATGTCCTATTTTCCTCTCAAAATTTCTCTCCACAAGTGGAGAGATTTTCACCATTTCAGATCATTCCCTCACTACCCTCTCCCGCCAAACATTATCACTTGAAGGAATAACGAGATGGGCATTATGCTAATAGGTATTATACTAATGAGTTCGTTATCATTTTATTAAAATATTACATAATATATAAGTTATTTATTTCATTTTATTTTAATTAAGTTCAAAAATTATTTCCTTTTTATTTTTACATAAAAAATAATTTTTTTACTAAATTATTTGGTTTCCTTGCCAATTAATTATAATAAGGACATTTTAGTCATCCTTATATTTTTACATTTTCTTTCCTCTCTGTTTTCTCTCACTCATCCAAGCAGGAAGTAAGTGAGGGAGCGAGAGAGAAAACTGACAGTGGAGGAAAATGGTGGAGGGCAAATATGACAAGTAGAATTTTGAATGAGCATTTAATGCTCTGTTAACGGTATATCACCTTTTGAAACGCTCAAAAGCTACAGATCTGAGCGTTCCAACATACCAGTGATTAGGTCCAAAAGTCAGTTGGCTTTTTAGTTCATCCAAACAACCGATTGAATCCCCAAAAGCTCCAAACCTTCATTTCACGCTTTCCTAGATGCTTTTATCCTCCCAAACGGAAATCCAAACATGCTCTTAAACACTTCCTTAATAGAATGAGAAATGATTTTTTTCCTATTAAATATGGTTTATGAACAGTAAAATATGTCTAGAGCTGATGATAAGCTATTTATTGAGGTGGCTTGCTGGAACAATTATTGATGATGTACCACTCTGTTCCTTATTATAGGTTACTGGTATCCCAAAAGTTTGTTTCAAAATATAAGTCAATTGTAGTATAATTAATAATTTTTTCCCCAATTTTACCCCTATTAATTTAATAAAAAATTTATTAATTTAAGTTTGAAACAATGGCTCCTCAAAACATGTTCTTCTCCATCTCTCTCTCTACACTTTTCATTTCCTATACAGTCCATCCCCTCCCTCTCCCTCTCTCTCTCTCTCTCTCTCACAACTTTTAATAAGGATAAATGTGAAAAAAAAACTGGTTAATTTAATGTATTTCTTGATTTGCGGGTTTGGGATGCAAGTGACTTATATTGAAGAAAGGAGTGGTATAGATCAATTTGCTACATAAGAGAGCTGAGTGCAGTAATAAGACCAGCCAAGAGAAAAGGAATTTGCTGTAGCCTTAATCGAAAACTGAAGATCTTCAAGCTAGAGTTTTGAACTTGATCACTCCATTAAATAGTTGTTAATTACCCATGTGCAAATAGGATTACGGTGACAGTCCAAAACTACTAATAACAATGCTTTTTCCTTTTTTTTACAAATAACATTAAACTCCATCACGTCGATCAAAAAATTAGTTAAAAACAATAAATAAGTAAAAATTGGGAGTTATTTCTCTAAAATATGCTTTTTCATGAGATACAGTGAGATTATAGGGGAAAAAATAAGAAAATTATTATAATAAAAAGAAGGCTAAGGTATACATTTGGTTTTTTAATTTTATGTAAAATTTCAGTTTGGTCCCTTAATTTTAAAAAGTATACTTTTAGTCATTTAACCCCAAAATTATTAGTCTTAGATGATAATTTTTTGTAACAATTATAGTTACTTTAAATATTAAACTTAATGTGTTAGTATTTAGTAATGTTTTATCAGCATTCAAGAGTTTAATATCATCATTTTTTATTAACAATTTTAAGGTTAGAGGACTAAAAATTTATTTTTTAAAGTTCAGAGACTAAAATGAAATCTTGTGTAAAGTTAAAGGACTATAAGTATATTTTAGCCTAAAAAAAATTATGAAAGAAAAATAATATAGATGGAGAGAGATGATATTTTTGGAAAATGGGAAGGTATTAAAATGAGTAATTAATGGGAGCAAAATAGAAAATTTGTTAGAAAAATTTAAGACAACTTGTAAATAATACTTATATTTAGGAACAAGAGGATGATAGTAGTTATTATTTATTTTTTTTAAAAAAAACGAAAGGAGTACGGTTTAAGAGTGAATTAAACATATGGAGTATTGAAAACATGAGATGCCCTTCTTTCTTGTTTCTTGACTGAAATTGACAAATTGTAGATGGTCCATTTTACTTCTGAGAATTTGACAGGCCAAAGGAAAGGAAAGATCTCTCACATCATCTTCTCTCATGTAATATATGACCTATTTCAGTACCGCATATTATATATATTTATATAGAGAGAGAGAGAGAGAGAGATTGGTAAGTAATGTCATCTACGAGAATCCAAAATTTTGTTAGCTGAAGGCATATCAGAGGGAATTATATGAGAAAAATGACACAAAAATAATACTTAAACTTGAAAATCTTAAAATGGTCACTTAAATAAGCAAAATCCTAATTTAAGCATAAATAACCAACTTGGGATTTACAAATTTACTGAAATAACCATATTACCTTTTTTATTATTATTGTTTTAAAAAAAGCCAAATATCCTCACTAGCCAGCTGATCGCTGGAGGTCTGGTGCCTGCAGTGACCGCCATCATTGGAGCTCTGGCGGCTGATCAATAATTGGTAGCTGGAGCTCCAACCCTCGGCAACTTTTTTTTTTTGAAAATTTTTACAACTTCAGTAACACGGTTAACAAGTTTTATAATACTATTAACAAGTTTAGTATATTAATTAACCACAGGTTTTTCAAGAAATTCAAAAAGTAGCATTTTTACAACTTCAAAAATGCCATTAACAAGTTCCATAACTTTATTAACAAGTTCGGTATAACATTTAACAACAAATTTTTTGAAAAATTCAAAAAGTGATATTTTTACAACTTCAGTAATGTGGTTAACAAGTTATGTAACGATATTAACAACTCTTATAAATGTTGATGTTTTTAATATTAGCTCCCTATGAAGGTTGTGCAACAAAATTTTCCCACTTACTAGGCAGCTATTATGGCTATGAGAGTTGTTCATTTCATTACATGACTTGTTAACCGAGTTACTGAAATTGTAAAAATGCCACCTTTTAATTCTCTAGAAAACTTGTTGGTAAATACTATACCGAACTTGTTAATAGAGTTACGGAACTTATTAATGACATCATTGAAGTTATAGGAATGTTACCTTTTGAATTTCTTAGATAATTTGTTATTAACTGCTATACTGAACTTATAAGTAGTGTTAAAAAACTTATTAATTGTATTACTAAAATTGTAAAAATTTTCAAAAAAATAGTTGTTGGCTGTCGAAGCTTTGGTGACAAGGGCTACCTGAGTTCCAACGACTGGCCAGACAATGAGAGTATTTGGTTTTTTTAAAAAAAATAAAAAAAAAATAAAGGACAATATGGTTACTTCAATAAATTTACAAATCCCAAATTGGTCATTTATACCTAAATTGGGATTTTACTTATTCAAGTGACCATTTTGGGATTTTCAAGTTTAAATGTCATTTTTGTGTTTTTTTCCCAGTTATATGCGCATCTTAATTAGGCCATTATCGTGTTGGGATTATTCAAATCTAATTCATATGTTGGATTTGAAATATTTGTAAAGGATTTTTTTTTTTAAAAAAACATTCAATCAAATTATTGGGTTGGATTTTTTTGATTAACCATCTATTTAAAAATTTAGTTATTGATAAGGCATATTGGCGTTTTAGGATGATGTAGCCAACAATAAGGGGTATAGATGAGTAAAGTTGGGGAGAAGGAAAAGAAAAAGAAAGGAGAGGAGGAGGAAAGAGACGGAGGAAGAAAGGGAGAGGAAGAGAAGAAAAATAGGTCATTTTTGTTATAAATAAAGAAGAAATATAAAGAAGAATTATACAGAAAAAGAGATAATCAACAAGAGAGAGCACTTCTCATTCCATTCAAGTGTGCGCAATATATTATACATGGTTTCTATTTATAGGCACAGCTTTATACTTTCGATAGAATCTACATATTATATAATAATATGAGATAATTGTGGTATATAGAGATAATAGGAGATATTAGAGATTATAAGAGATATAAGAGATAATGGGAGATATATGGACATCCATAAAGATATTATTATATTCATAACACTTTCCCTTGGATGTCCAACATATATGAATGTGCCTTGTTAAAAAACTTCAACTAGGAAAAACTCTATGGGATAAAAACCTAGCGAAAGAAAAAGATTACATCATTCATTGATACACTATGCAATGCTGCCTTATTAAAAACCTTGTTAGGAAAACCCAGTGGGACAAAACCATAGACAAGAAAAAAGAATACAGCGTTTATCATCAGTTGACATCTTTGAGCCTGCAAAATCTAATATCACGAACAAACCTTCCAAATATTGTAATGAGATAAAAACATCAAACATGAATTTCATAATCTTCTGAAAATTATGAGACGAATAGTTCTTTTATGATTTACCCACATGTGGATCATACTATGATGTCTTGACATGAGGATCAAACAAAAATACTTTATCTATATAGCCATCAAGATTAGTCTTGGGTACCTTCAAATAAAATAATATTACCTCCATGACACCCTTAAAGTAATGAGGAATATTTTTAATTACATTCCAATATTTCATGTTGATAAAAAACTATGTTAGATTTTTGGGCTTGGATCCGCCCTTGATGGGCCGGATTATTTGACCCGGTATAAAGAGAATATATCAGTCAAATATCCAAGCGATATCATGATATGTTTGACTTGGTCAAACATCCTGAATCATATCCAATCGGTTACGATATAAATCTAATTAATTTATATTAAATTAATTAATTTATATTGTATAGATTAAATATATATTAAGTATATATATTTAGAATTAATTAAGATTGATTCTGGATTTGAATTCAAAATATCATGATATTATGAGATAAGGATATATTATATCTTATCTCAGATTTTATCTGATGGGCTCAGTGGATATTTTTATGCTACCCAAAATATCCCTGACAAAAGCTATAAATAGAGGCTTCCCCCCATCAGTTCAAATCACTCCAGTAGTAGAGCTTTCCTACTATCTCTCTCTCTCTCTTAATTTTCTTTCTTGCAAAAGTGGTGCTCTGCTGTGCACTTAAAAGCTCAGACTTTTATAGTCTAGCTTAAGCGTGAGCTAAGGAGATCCGACCGACCCGACCCGAGATCCGACCCGGTATGTTTTCGATCCATTCTCCAATTTTTCTAACATTGGCATCAGAGCCGAGATGTTCTTGAGGCTCTCAATATATGTGTGCATATATATATTACACGCTCATTTTTTCCGCTGCACGTGAATATGCCGTATGCCATTCGAACTGAATATGCTTGTGTTTTAAACTCAAATACACACTCCGTTTATATAAGTGAAGTTCGAAAACATTACTGTTACTTCCGTAAGATTTAAAAACGTGATCGAAGTCTACTTTCTGAAGCTTCCAACGTCGGCCGTTCGAACCTTTTTTTGGGTCTTTAAAATTGATGTTTTTTAAAGAAAATAAACCCATAGAGTTGTAGAGCACGAAAATACGAGTCCATAGACACCTAAAATGCATAAAACGGAGCTCGGAGGAGGAAGATACGGCGGTTCGAAAATGGCGGGTCGCGACGGACCCGCCGGAGCTCCAGCCGGATCTGGGGCGACCCGGCTGGAGGTCAGGGACGACCTGACCAGCCCAAAACGGCGTCGTTTTGGGCTGGCCAGGACGCAGCGTTTCACTTTAAGTGAAACGCTGCGTTTCGGGTCCGTGGACCCGGATCCCCCTGGAAGTCGGGTCGGTAGACCGACCCGACCGAATTTTTTTTTTTAAAAAAAAAAAAAATTTTTTTCTGAAATTTTTTTTGGACGCGCCATGTGGGCGCGTGGGGTCCACCTAGGGACCCTTTGGTCATAAAAAGCACATATATAGACTCCTTGAGACGTGAGGAATCAAATAGGACAGGTCAGGTGACGGCGAGAGGCCGGAAAGGCGGCGCGTGTATGACACGCGCCGGTCCCGAGAGTGGGCGATCCTAGCTCTTTAAAAAAAAAAAAAAATTTTGCTTGTTGGGGCGCGTGAGGGCGCGTGAGGGACTATTTTTGAGCCCTGTTTGACCTGAAATATTTCTAAAATCATGAGCTATGAATTAATATATTATGTGCTGATTTTTTATGACTTTTTGGGTATGAAAAATAGCAAATAAATGTTTTGAATATTTATTTTTATATTTTTCTTAACTTGTTCTTTTTGGGTTTAGGAAATGGCCAACTCAAACTCAAATTCTAACTCCTCTTTTGGAAAATATCCAACTTATTCTCCACTTTCTGATGCTCCGAAATCTTCAAATAATTATGCTGCCGAAAGTACAAATAAAAGAAAAGCGCCTCAATCACAAGTAAACTCTAATGTACCTGAGGGGAGCAGTGGTAAAAGGAAATGTGTTCCTGACCAACAAGAGGAAGAAGTCTGCAGACCCAAGGACATAAATTTAATAGAAAAGATAGCAGAAAAGCATGCTGATGAATACAAGCATCAAAAGTGCCTATTTTCAAAATTGAATTATTATGCTAAACAAATTGTCAATGAGCAAGACGCACTCTTTTTCTCAAATATTGCAATCCAGTACAGAGAGGAACTGGCAAGGAGGGGACACATATTTAGTGAAGCATTTTTTAAACAATGTCTCTGTAGATGCTGGAAAGGTGTTAAAGAGAGTTTGAGAGAACCAATGATAAAATATATCATGAACGAATGAGTTTTTGTTCACATTTATATTTCTTTTCATTTAATGTTTACTCTTGAGACTTCATTTTTGGAATTATCCAATTTTTTGTAAACATTCATGCTTCAATAAATAAAGTTTTTTTTATTTTCAAATGCTTTATTTGAGTGGGAGTTTCATGAGGAAAACTCCAAATTGGGGATATGTTCAAGGAAAGTCAAAGGTAAGAAAGGTAAGAGACTAACCAGGAGTAATGGGATGGGAGCCAACCTAGTTGTCTCCTGATCATGAAAATGGTGAGACTCTTACCCAGGCGACCTATGACCTACTTGAATAAAAGTGTATATATTGCATACCATACTAAAATGCATTGTTGTCTATGTGATAGCACGATGTCTCAAAGAGGAATCAAGTCCATTATAGCTGACCTCGTAGGAGGTGACAAGCTGAACGGAGACAATTACAGCATGTGGCGTCGTAAGATATCGTATGTCCTCGAAGAACAAGAAGTCACTGATGTGTTGACTACTTTTCTTCCAGAGCCTGAGGCAAATGCATCGCGAAGGGACCAGGACGGCTACGCGGCCTGGAAAAGAAGGGACACTATCGCCAGAATAACCATGCTAAGTGCCATGACTGACGATGTGTTGGTGCAATTCGAAACACACCCTTCAGCCTCTGCCATGTGGGCAGCACTGAAATCCGAATTTGACGGTACCTCTGCTGCGAGGCTTAGGAGACTCACCGTCAAACTTGATAATTTCAAGCTGGGTCCTAACACTCCCATAAGGCATCACCTAAGGGCAATGCAGAACTTAATAGGGAGCTTAAGGAAGCCGGAGGCGCTTTATCTGATGAGCAACAGATTCAAGCTGTCATGAGATCTCTCCCAGCAAGTTGGGATACCATGAAGCACACCATTACTCATAATGAGAGTATAAAAACCTTTGCTGATGTAGCTCGCCACCTCCAACTGGAGGATGATCGGATGGAAACTGTGAAGCCTGTCAGTAAGGCATATTTAACTGAAGGAAAGGGAGGGACAACCTCCCAAAACCAGTCCAAGAGAAGCAAAGGCTCTCAAAATAAGAAAGGCGGCCCTAAAGTGAAGAAGGGAAAGAGTCCTTCAAGAAAGGCAAGAAACCTGCAAAGAAGCGGAACATAGCAACCATCAAATGCTATGCTTGCCAACAAAAGGGACATTATGCCAAGGACTGCCCTGAGCAGAAAAAGGTATTGGATTCAGATTCAATACATTTCTCTTATGTTTCTAGCACTGCGTTTATTGCTGAAACTAATCCTGTTTGGGTTATAGACTCAGGGGCCACAGACCACGTGAGCAAGGATCGTGGGAACTTCACAGAATTTCGTCGGTTACCAGCAAGAAGCAGATGGCTTTATGTTGGGAACAACGCGAGAGTAGAAGTCAAAGGGATCGGTACTTGTGAGCTGACCCTGCATGGAGGAAAGACCCTAGTCCTGCAAAATGTCCTCTACGCTCCGGAAATCCGACGAAATCTTGTGTCTGTTATTTCCTTAGTTAGATTTCATTTCAATGTCTTTTTTCATGATTTCACAGTAGACATTTCGTATGGGACCAATTTTTCAGTTTCTGGTTATGTTTCGGATGGTTTCTTTGTTTTAGAAAATTTCAATGATAATTTTTCTAGTTCTTGCTATGCGCTTTCTTCCGATGTCAATTACGATATATGGCACGCTAGATTAGGACATATTGGTCAAGAACGCATGACCAAACTAGCAAAAGAGGGTTTGCTAGGAAACGTGTCCAAAAAGGAAATGTCTCTGTGTGAACATTGCCTTGCTGGCAAGAGTACAAGGAAGCCTTTCGGAAAGGCAACCAGGGCTAACCAACCTCTTGAATGGTACACTCTGATATTTGCGGACCAATGAGTGTTAGGGCACGTCACGGAGCATGGTATTTTATTACCTTCATCGATGATTCTTCCCGATATGGCTATACTTACCTGATTTCCCACAAATCTGAGGCATTAGAGTGCTTTAGAAAATATCTCAATCTAGTGGAAAATCAGCTAGGTTCAAGAATCAAAGCCTTAAGAACTGACCGAGGCCGAGAATACCTCTCTGATCAGTTCAAGGAGCTCTGTGAAGAAAGGGGCATTGTTAGGCAACTAACAATCCCTGGCACTCCTCAACAGAACGGAGTTGCTGAAAGGAGAAATAGAACTCTCCTCGATATGGTTAGATCAATGATGGCACAAGCTGAGCTTCCAACCTCATATTGGGGAGATGCTCTTTTAACCGCCACATTCATACTTAACCGAGTGCCTTCTAAATCAGTCACAACAACCCCTTATGAATCATGGACAAACCGCAAACCGGATCTAAGCATCCTAAGACCATGGGGGTCAGCGGCCTATATTCGTGATTCTTCCCATAAATATGACAAGCTAGAACCAAGGGGCAAAAAGTGTATCTTCATAAGATACTCTGAGAACTCTAAGGGGTATGTCTTCATTGGTGAAAATGATGACGGCTCAGTGACTGAGATAGAGTCAAGGGACGCAACATTCATAGAAACCGAATATCCTAGCAGAGGGAGTATTGATCGAACAAGCCGTCTTTATGAGGATGATGGCAATGAGGTACAACAAAGTGTTCCTCAGTCTACTGATCCGAGTGGGAGGGTTGAACCATTTTCACAACAAGGTTTAACCCAGTCACAGGAAGTAAGTCCTGCACACAACCCCACTTAGGAGAAGTAACAGAGACAAAACCCTAAGAGACGCTTCTCAATTGAAGGAGCAACCTTCATCGTTAGTCCAGAGCACGATGAAGAAGACCCCGTAAGTGTTAAAGAAGCACTAACAGGACCTGCTAAGGAAAAATGGCAGAAGGCCTTACAAGAGGAAATGGATTCCATGGAATCCAACCAAGTATGGGAATTAGTTGATCTACCACCTGGCCGAAAGGCAATTGGGAGCAAGTGGGTTCTCAAGTACAAACGTAAGGCTGATGGATCAATTGATAAACCCAAAGCAAGGTTAGTTGCCAAAGGGTATACACAACGGGAAGGAGTGGATTACGCAGACACCTTCTCACCTGTTGTACGTTTCAACTCGATACGACTGATACTGGCTTTAGTAGCAAGTTTAGACTTAGAGTTACATCAGATGGATGTAAAAACCGCCTTCTTGAATGGAGAACTAGATGAGGAAATCTATATGGAACAGCCTGAGGGCTTCATACAGAAAGGGAACGAACAAAAGGTTTGTAAACTATTGAGATCCATTTATGGACTCAAGCAATCATCTAGGCAGTGGTACTTAAGGTTCCACAAAGCTATAAGCTCCTATGACTTTGAAATGATCGAGGAAGATCACTGTGTTTATATCAAGCGGTTTGGAGACAACTTTGTCATTCTATCCCTCTATGTTGATGACATACTACTGGCTGGTACCAATCTTAAACTAATAAAGATGATCAAAGAGTGGTTATCCTTGAACTTCGAGATGAAAGACATGGGCGAAGCAGAATATATCTTAGGCGTTAAGATAAGAAGAGATCGTTCTAGAAAATTGCTGTCATTGTCACAAAAGGCATACATAGCAAAGATTCTTGAGCGTTTCAATATGAGAGACTGCAAGCCTATGGATACCCCTGTGGTTAAGGGACATAACCTAAGTGAGGAAATGCGCCCTACAAAACAATGCGATATAGAACGCATGAAGAGAGTCCCATACTCAAGTGCCGTTGGCAGCCTAATGTACGCCATGTTGTGTACCAGGCCAGACATATGCTTCGCAGTCGGACTTGTGAGTCGA